TGAAGTGATTACATATATATATATATATATATATTCCCTTCAATTTCTTATGAAAGTATTATGAGATAAATAGAGTGGAATAGCTCTCACATTAGGAAGGACATAAAATCAGCCATAACCCCGATAATAAAAGAAGGAAACAAGAATTATAACATACCAATAATTTTATATTCTAAATATAAAAAGTACAATAGAAGATACTAGAGAATATTCAACATGGATATCAATCATCTCCAACTTGCTTACAAGGAGTTCAAAATTAGGCGAAGAGTCATTTGGTGAAAATGTCATCAATTTGTTGATAAACGAGATAAATGGCATGCACATGACTCCACAATCAAGCTTCTCTTTTATGAAGTGTCAAACAATCTCCACATGCTTTGTGTGAATATGCTGCATTGGATTTTTTGAAATGTTGACGACAACTTTATTATCATAGTACAACTTCATTGGCATGTTTATCAAAATATGCATCTGGTTAAAAAATTTTCTTTAGCCATAACATCTCACACACTCCATTAGTCATAGTCTGATATTCTGCCTCAACACTACTCCTTGTCATCGCATTTTGTTTCTTATTTCTCCATGTAACCAGATACAAGTACAATATATAGATGTTGATCTTCCATTAAAAAATGAGTCTGCCCAATCTGCATAAACGTATGTCTATATTTTGTTGTGTGACATTTTGAAAGAGTAAGCCCTTGTATGGTGTACTTTTTATGTATCTGAGCATCCTATTAATTGTTTCAAGGTGTTTCTCATAGGATGAATCCATGAATTGATAAGACAAACTTACAACAAAAGCAATATATGATTTTGTATGTGACAAGTATATCAAATTTCCCACCAACTTTTGATATCGAGTTGTATTAACTAGGTCGCCCTCGTCTCCCAGTTTATGATTTGAATCAACTAGAACATCTACAAGCCTACAATCACTCATCTATGTTTCCTTTAGAAGATCAATAACATATTTATGTTGGGAAACTACCACAATCCCTTACTTCGATCTAGCACTCTCCATGCCAAGAAAATATCTGAAAGCCCCAAAGTCCTCAAGTCTAACAAACAGATGGAAGAAGTTTTCAACCGGTTCATTTCATAAACGTCGTCTCCCATGAGAATTATATCCACATAAACAATTAGTATGACTATATTCTCATCCTTGACATGCCTGAAAAATATTAAATGATCTTCTTACCCTTGAGTATATCTCTGACTTTAACAAATGGTGTAAAATTTTCAAACCATACTCTTGGTGACTGCTTCAACCTATATAGGAATTTTTTTAGTCTGCACACCTTTGTGCCAAACTTCTCGATGAATCCTAGAGGTACATTCATATACGCTTCTTCCTTCAAGTGCCAATTGAGGAAGCATTCTTTACATCCAACAGTTTTAGGGGTCACTCAAGATTAGTTGCAAGTAACAAAAGCATCCTTACCAAGTTTAGTTTTGCAACTAGAGCGGATGTCTACAGAAAATCAATTTCATATATCAGAGAAAATCCCTTAGCAACCAATTTAGCCTTGTGTTGTTCTAAAGAATCATCAAAATTGTACTTGATTGTAACTATCCATATGCATCTGAGGGCTATCTTTCCTCTAGGTAGATCAATCATTTCTCATCTTCCTTTTTTTCATGATCTTTCATCTCCTAAAAAACAACCTTCTTCCACTTGAGACTCTTAGAGCATTCTGCACAATTTTATGAATCACCATACACAATAATTGTGAGATAAAAGCATAGAAGGTGGGTGACAAGTGATCATATTACACATAATGGGACAATGGATGTTAAGTGCTAGACACATTAAACTAAGGATTTAAACTAGGCTAAAATTTGAAGACGAAGTGGGCTAAACATGAGATAAAGGATTAGTAAGGAAGTTATTTGGGTTTGTGGACTCTGGGTAGTGTAAAGATTCATAGACCATTTATTTTGAGTTGTCCTCTATCGTGATATAATATCACTGTTGTTGTTCTTTTTCCTGGATTCTTCATTGTCATGAGCATCAGGAGATGACACTGTAGGAAATTCAATATCTAAAAGACTCAACACACTCTCTCTTGATATAATCTCACTTGGATTTTTAGATTTGAACAACTGACGTTGAGGACATACTATTTTGGGAGTTTTTCGGTTTGAAGAAATGTTGAAGCTCAGTATGTGGATCTTTGTTTTGTTCTTACCCTTGAAATTCAAAAGGAAAAAAAAAAGGTTCTAATTCAAAAAAGGTGACATCCATAGTAACATAATTTTCGAACTAGGATGAAAGCATTGATAACTTTTTTTGTTATGAGCATAAATAATAAACACATTTTTTTGGCTCGTGGTTCGATTTTTCCTTGATTATGAATGTGAGTGAAAGCAGTACACCAAAATATCTTTAAAGATGAGGAACAAGAAAGCCGAATTTTTTAAAAACATCAAAAAGTGTTCTTAAGTTTAAAACCTTATTAGTTGTATTGTTTATGAGAAATGTAGCAGTAAGATTAATTTTACTCTAAATATATTTACACCTGATTGGCAAATAGTAAAGCCCGAACTACCTCCAATAAGAGCTTGATTTTCGTTTCTGCCAACACATGTCGTTGATAAGTATTAACAAAAGAGTTTGATGAATTATTCATTTTTCAGGAAAAAACTGACCCAAAGTCTTTTTGAAATACTCTCAGACATTATCACTTCATAATATTTGAATGGTTGTTTGAAATTGAGTTTATACTATGGTATAATTTTTTTTTAAAAAATTATTTATACATTAGATTTTTCTTTCATTAAATAATTCCAGTTTAATCTAGTGTGATCATCAATGAAAATCACAAACCATTTTTTCCCAGAGATTGTAAGGATTTAATAAGGACCCAAATATTACTCATATCAAAGTAAACAGTGTACTAGATTTGTATATTTATGGAGAAAATGATGTGCAGTGATGTCTAACAAACTGATACACTTCACATTGAAACAATAACTTTATTCTGAAATAATTTGGGAAACAAGTTTTTTTAAAAATAAAAACTAAAATGACTAAACCCATAATATCATAAGATAATTTCATCGTCTTTGGAAACATAAAAAGAATAAAAATAATAATATTTTGACATTATCTATTCGAGTCAAGTTTATATTCAAAACAATAGAGTTCATTTTTTTCTTTAGCTCTACAATCCTCCTTCCTATGGCCAATTCTTGAAACTTACAACAAAAAAGATAGAAGTTATCTTGACAATGATGATCAACATCAATTTTAGTAATAGACAACTAGACACGATAGAGTAGGAATATGAAGAACATCATGAAGGGTTAATGATGAGGGGAGTTTGAAAGTTCTTATCCCGACAATTGCTGAGAGAAAATCATCAACAATTTTGATATTTTTATAGTCTACACAATGTCCATATGAAGAAAATAATTTAGAACAATCCATCATCTGATCAGTTGCGCCATAGTCAATTATATATGGATCATGAAAATTAAGAATAACACAAACCAAAGCAGTGGCCAGGGAGTTAGCCTTTTATGGTTAAAAGCAAGATGGAGTCTAGGATAGTTTTGGAGATATAAATAATTTTTGTAAGTGCTTTAATTGCATATGGTAAAAGAGATTGCACACGAGTTCTTCAAAGGCTTGATAAGCTCGACCTTCATGCTTGGATTTTAATTTCTAATTTGCAGGTTATTCATAATGCTTCCAACATATTTCATTTGTGGGACATGATTTTTTTCAATGCTCACACCCGGATTTTTTTCCCTTTTTTATCAATATCAACCCTTTTTGATACAGAAGTCAAGTTCTCTTATTCAATATTACGAGACGATTCAATATTGTACAACATAATTTTACTTTTAGATTCTTCATGTCAACTTCAGAAAAGGTTTCTCGAATTGAGGGTAGAGATTTCCTACCAAGGATTCGACCTTGAACTTCATCTAAACACTTAATAAGTTCAGCTAAGAACATGTAGACCTAGTTTTTTTCCTCTAGTTTCTTGTGGCAAGCATAGTCAATTGCATTCTCTTAAATGTCATCATAAAATTGATCAAGTTCCTACCATAATGTTACCAACTCATTGCAAAACGTAGTAACATCATAGTACTTTTTGTTTGGATTTCCAAAGAAGAGTTTTCAACTCAAAAATTTGCCAAGAATTCTCCAAATATGAAAAGAGGTCTCAAACACCTTCCAAATATCTCAAGTTGTGCGAAGAAATAGATGTGTTTTTCCTATGATAGATTATATAGAGTTGATGAGTCAGCTCATAATCAGAGAATTTTCGGAATGCCATTTTTCAAATTTGGATAAACAGTAGTAGAGTTTGAAATTTCTCAGTTAATACCCATTTTTCTCTCTCTCACACCAATTGCCAATTTTATGGATTGAGCCCACTGGACACACAAGCTGTGCGAAATTCCTTTATGTTGCGATCTCGATCTCCGCTTCGAATAAAAAATGGTGTGAAACTTCAGTATGCAGCAATCTGTTCACTTTCCTGTGTAAACGACATGGAACTCCTTTATGTTGCGATCTTGATCGTTGTTTTCAATCAAGAATGGCATGAAACTCTTATATGACGTGATCCTTTTACTTCCCTGTACATGCTCGACGACTACAAAATAGGAACCAACAACCTCGAAGGACAAAAAAAAACGATGGATTGTTGTTGAGACGCTAATTTGAATCTACAGACAAGATAGAAAAGCACAAGCAGAGGTAGTGTCTTCGAAGGAGATGAAAGGTGGAGGAAGAAGACGCAGTGTAGGGCGAGCAATCATAGAAGCTTCACACAAGGGGATAGTCACGTTCTCACTAGTAGTGGGTGAAATCAGAGCGAGACAAAATCGCTTGCCACAACGAAACACCTAGACGACCTAGTAAGCGACACGAGAACTGGCTTCAAATGCAACCACTTAAAATCGAAGGAGATCACAAATAATAGGGCATTATCGGGCTAGTATGCTCGAAGACGAAGCAAGATGACACAAGCAACTTCAACCTCAGCTCGGGTTAGGTAACTTTTAGCGGCACTGATAACATGTGAATTTTGAACCTATATATATATATGTTCGTCTTCAATTTCTTATGAAGTGATTACAAGATAAATAGAAGGGGATGGGTCCGACATTAAAAAAGACATAAAACCACTCTAACTCCCCATGATAAAGGAAGAAAACAAGAATTATAATATATCAATAATTCTATATTCTAAATATAAAAGTACTAAAATAGAAGAGAGTAAAGAATATTTCAAAAATTTTAATAATAAGAAACTAAAATTTGAGGAGAAATCACTGAAAGATATCATCCACTTTTCATTTACTAATAATCAACGACAACTGTCACAACTCAGGTTCAATTACAGAAGTATTGAGAGAGAAATTGAGACAGACAGAGAAAGTGTGCTTTAAAAATAAAAAACGACAAAATTAATAACTCATTGAGTTTCCAATGTACATACATTAATGCATGCATCACACGCATGCGTTTTAAGCTTCCAAATGATGAAAACGAAGAGAAAAACACTGAATAAAAAAGAAGAAGTGCTTTTTAAACAGAAAGGAGGCAAACACAACATCTCATTAGATTTTAGGAAGAATGAAACCTGAATATATAAATGAATGCTTTTCAGAACTTACAATACTATCCCATTCATAACATCAAGTTGATTAATTATAAAAATCTAGAAAATCATAACAAATTAGTTGGACATCTAGATTTAGAAATAAAGGGAATAGTTATTAAGAAAAAAGTGGATAATATACATATTATTTGTTTAGATAGATAGTGGTCAGCCACTGCTCACAATTGGCTCTATGAATCCTCACAAAAATCAAAATTTAGGAGAAAGTGAACGAGACTTGCCTTGAATAGGGTTGTTAACAGGAGAGCTAATCTTAAGATCATCAAAAACCTTCAGAGCCTCTAAGGTCAAGCCACTGTCCACACTCCCTGAAGAGATCCTCCTATGAGACTTCTGCAGGTGAAGCTTCAGTGAACTTGTGCTCAGCCCTGCATTCTTCCCACAAATTGGGCACACCTTCATTACAGGTTTCTTGTGCTGCCAAACCATGGAAACCTTTCCATGAAGTCTCAGATCAAGCTCGAGCAATGCCTTGGCAAACCCATCATTTGGCTGTGCGCGTCTATGCATTTTCTTCAGCAGATTCCATGATTCTGATAAGTTAAGACCACTGAAAACCAAATACATCGAACTTTTGAGAAATGTAAAAGAAGAACAAGAGATTAGGAACTGAAAACATTAAAACAACCCCCCTACTTTCTCATCATTAAGTAGGCAAGAACTACTGTCGCACTTCGGCTTTTTCCTTCAAAACAATGAACCAGCACCTTTCCACCTGAATCGACGATGGTGGCGATGAAATCACAAGCCTCAGCAAAGAGACTGCTGATATCTTCTTCGTCACTGTCACTTATCTGTAATCATTTTTGTTTGCTTGGTTAACGATGATAATGAATAGATGGGCCACTACCGCGCAACTACTACAGCGTTTGTATAAAATGAATAGGAGTAAAGTATCAAAATAAACCCTCATTATTTTTATAAGCACATTTTAGTCACAATGTTTATAAAAATGTTAAATTAGTCCTTAAACTCTTTTAATGAAGGCTAAATTAATTCTCGTTGACGACCTTTTTATCCCATCTTAAAATAGTCTGGGGGCTAAATACACAATTTTATAAACTCTAGGACTAAAATAGCCCCCTTCAAAGAGTTGGGGATCATTTTGATACTTCTCTAAAATAAATAATAAGACCTAAATTTTCGTAGTTGTACAGAATTCAGTAACCAAAATGTTGAGAAGGAATGAAAAAAACACTTACAGAGAAGTTTTTGTATTCAAAAAATTCAGGATGCTGAGAATCTGATTGTCCAATTTCATTAAGACACAAGCAAATGATGTGTGTGATGCCCAAATATTGTAAAGTATGAACAGCCTTTGCAGCCAACGCCCCACCAATAAACAGATTATCTGTGACCTGAGAAGGCCGCTCCGTGTTCATGGCATCGGAGATCAAAGCCATCCTATCCAATATATGCTCAAGTCGAACCTGCAATAGCTCCTAAGATCAATATTCTAACAAGGGATTATAAATTATGAATAAGTTCGTCAACTGCTGCACAACAGCACAGTTCAATTGATACAAACTCAAAAAATTGGTGCTCACCTTTTATTGCGAAAGTGTTACCATACCTCCTAAGACAATCTTCCCAACATAGGTTAAGTTCGCTAAATAGTATCAGTGTCAGCTAGTATAGTTGATAATATCTTGAAAATTACTGTCAATGTCCTCAAGATTGAATCTCTCCCATATTAAATTTATGCATCGGCATTGAAATTTTTAGCAAAAAGATCTTTAAAATGGTTAGAGGAGATTACTTGGCGAACCCTAAATGCCAATTTTCTAGTTCTCTCCTTCCACCAAATCAAGCTTCGAAATTTTCTTTGTACTCCAAAAAACTTTAATTTTTCAAAAATCCCTGTTACAGCGTGACTCTAGACTGTTGCGCCAACATGCACAGCATTAGGAGCGGTATTTTATAAGGAATGAGCGTGAAACAAAGAGTGTCGTTAGGTTATTTTTTATTTTATTGTTTTAAATTTAAATTAACGGGAAGAAATAAAGCTTTTCCTTCTTAAAAAGTTTTGGGAAAACATGACGTCTAAGCAAACCAAATTATGACAGGCGATAGTTATTGGACTACTATTTTACTTTCAGCTTTGGTTATATAATATAAAAGCTAGTGGACATTACCTTTAATTCATAAGCATCAGTGACAATATTACTATCATTCCCATCAAAGAAACCTGCATTGAAATTATTTTCTAGGCAAAATTTAACGACGTCTATTCTCAGCATTTCAATCCACTGTTCCAAGTCCTTGTTAAATTCAGCATCAGCCTGCATGACAAGAAAGTTGAACAGATGAAGCTTGACAGAAATCACGGACGTGGAATAAAAAACTACTAATAAATGCAAACGAGAAAATTATTTTTCCCAAGAAAAAAATAAGATAGTTTTAGCAAAAGATTACCAGCAAATGTACGAACTTAAATTATACATTATGCAGGATAAAGATCTCCCTTAAATTCATGAACTTAAATCATTCATTATGAAACATAAATGCATTGAAATTATATAATTTATAGCAGAGCAAATTCTGTTCAGTGTTCAGTATTAGTTAGAAATTTTTTACCTTCACAAACTTCTGAAAATCTCGAAGCTTCATCGTCAATCGCAATCTATGGGACTGATCTCCGCTTCCTTTGAAATATTTACCACTCCAATTTCCTCGAGAACTCGAAGATGTCGACTCAGGACTTCCATAGTGCTCCGATTCTCCGCGGGGTGAAGACCTTGGGGTATTTCTACGAGTTTCTGAATCACAGGAATCTGCATGGCTCTCATTAGCAGAACGCTCCTTCCAAAGAGGATTGCTCGAGCCAAAATCTGATGAATGTGGAGAGCAATAGTGCCGGTACTCTTCCTTCTCAACGTCTTCAGAGCTTTTATTTACAATTGACAAGAAAATTCGAAAAAGGCCATCTAACTTCTGATTAAGAGTAAGGAGAAATATATAGAAGCTTTGCATGTCCATAAGGGCATCACGAAATCCACTTCGAAACTTTTGAACAACTGTCATCATGTTAGTATGTGAAAGAGAACAAAAATTAGAAGAACAAGGTAATATGGCATCGGCTTCTTCTAAGGCAGAAAATCCCAGTTTACCACCAGAAATTTCGTGTAATAGATTGGATGAGTAGTCTAAACAATTAAGCAAAAGCTCAACCAGCCTTGGATATTGCTCTTGATCTTTGGCACGTTTGCCTGTTGGAGGTCTGCGAGGAACTCCGGTATCAATAGCCACAACATGAAAGTTAGAATGTTGATGTGCATTGTTGGCTTGTTCTCCAATGGATATGTTACTTTTTTCATACAATTCATCGGAGCTCTGATATAAATGTTCTTGCATGTTGCTAGAGTTTACCTTCCTACTGTTCTGCAAAGATTTGACAACTGCTGGGTTATATCTTTTGAAAGGAAGACCAGTAATTTCATCAAGTGCATCCAATTTAGCTGAGTCTATTTTATCCACAAAAAGTAAATTTCCAGGATTACCACGCCACCCAAGCTGATTACAAGGAAGTCTGTCCTCATTTCTAATTATAAGATCCAAAAGTAGTATCCTACCAAGTGCGGCAGCCGTGCTTCCGGCTGCTTCAAGTGAGTTAAATGCCTGTGAATTCTTAAGAAGGGGTGATCCATGAACATAACTACAGATGAAGCAACAAAATATTATGATAAGCAATTTTTATTTCAGATAAATATTAAATCCTAAATAAACGCAAGTACAAATCTCACTTCATCAACAGGATACAGCGACTCATTTCTAGAGCTTCCAACAGCTCTGAGCATGTCATTTCTCCAATTTCATCACCAGCTGAAGCTGCACCACTACATGCCTTCTCTGCTGCATCTTTAATAATTTGCCATTCTGGGCTAAAATTGTGGACAACCCTAGCCTGAAATCTTGTAAGTAGTACTCATTGCATTGAGAGAAAATGAACCAATCAACGAAAGGAAAAAAAAACACACCTGAGGGGTTCGTACTCCAAGCCACCTAGCGAACTCATAACCTAAGCATTCTGAAAGTGTGGTCAACCTTGAAGATGTTATCTTTATAACTGCTGCTGCTTCTTTTGGTAAAAGAATGCTATCCTCGGGTTTGTTGAACAAAGCAAAAAAAACAACTCCCCCAGAGTTTACAGTCACCTGCAGCAAGACAACACCACAAAAGTTACTTAAACTAAATCTAATAAAAATAATCCAGACATTACAACAAAATAACCTAGTTGTTTTAGGACACCTTTGTGAAATTAACCAATTAGAAAGCCCTATATGAAATATGGTGAGTACAAAAATAAGGGTTGTACATTAAGTAACCTCTAAAGCTTTGTTCAATTCATCTTCAGAATTATCATTACTGCTAGTATGTTCAGTATGATGTAAAGATGAAAGACAACTCCATGTCACAGCACCTGAGTCAACGTTCATTGTTGCAGCATTTCCAAGTCTTTCCCACAAGCTCCTTTCTGGAGCTTGTTCCAAAAGAAACGACTTATCAGCAAAATCCAAAAGTTCTTCAGAAATTAGTTCTGTGACACTGCAGCAAAAATTTTCATAAACAAGTCAATAAGAAATTGAATTTTTAGACACTATCTAGCAAAAGCAGGTTATATGTATGTATGAAAATTGTATATTCTACAACACAACAATTAAAAATGACACCAAACCAAACTATATATTTAAAAAAAATTTATGAGTTTACGAGTAGATGAATAATCTTTTGAATATTTTAAGACATTCAAACTTGAGGTAAGGGCAATTTTAACCAACTACTCTCAGCTATGTACACAAATGACCATTTGCAGCTCAATGACTTATTATGAAAGTGGTAGTTCATGTGGTCATTCCATGAGCTAACAAGTTAGAAAACAACTAAGCCCCACACCTCCCGTACCCTTGTAAGTGGTGGAATGGTGTCGGTGCAGATTAAGAGATTTTTAGCTCAGCAGAGTACGCTTAATATGGTCCATCCAACATTTAAATTATTGATGTTTAATCCGCATGTGTTGAGAGCATGAACAACAAGGGTTTAATGAATAACAATAGGATTATTTTGCCAAAACAACTTAATCAATTTTATCATCTAATAATGGTCATTGTTTGCTAGTGGAAAAACAAGCTCTTATTGGGTCATATTCATATTATGAAAACTTGTACATTTCTTTTATGCAACAGCTTTTAGTTTCTATTACAAAAATGTGGTATGGATCAACTGCGCAAGAATCCCCAATGAAACTCAAGTCAATTGATCTTCAATAACACATTAAAATTACACAGACAAAGTTTCATCAAACTTTTCAACAATTTCATTGGTATTATGCTTACAGAAAACATGAATATTATATATAGAAATGTTAAATACACTATTACTCTATCTTTAACAAAAAAAATATTGTACTTGCTCTGATTATCTAGTTATTCAAGCATAGAAAATTTAATTAATGTAAGCAATAATAATATCAAGAATAAAGAATGTGTATCTCATTATCGGTCATTCTTTAGCTTTCATGCCTGAAGCAGCCAAATTAAAAGCCAAAAGTTACAAAAATTCGAGTAAATTTGATCTCTAACTAGATTTAATCACCAAGAAAAAGAATAGTAGCTTTGTTGCCCATTTCAAGAGCCTCAATAACAATATATTCAAACTGGAGAATGAAAGAAATATCTTACCTTTTAATCTAGTGGCTTATTTTTTCTCTCTATCTAATTCAATTTCAAGCACTTTATGCATTCACTAACTTAAGATTTTATATTAAATGTGCAAACACCAAGGTACATTCCATTAACTATGCATTCATGAAGATCCAAAATGAGAAGTGAATCACTACATGAAATTTTGATTCTTATAATAAACCCTTTTTGTAAAAAATTTCTCAAGCTTGTTAGATTCATGAACACAAACTTCCTTTCTTCCTTGGTTATCTCCAACTATATCAAGTGAACTTTCCATAATTGTAAATCCCAGATTAAAGAATTGATTTAGGTTGTAAATGGCCAAGATCTAATAGAATCATGTAATTACTTTGAGAGATTTGGGAAGATCTTATGTAATTTGAATGTGATTATATATACTTTTCCTAAACCATGTATAATCCAATCTATAAGTAACCCTTTTGGAAAACCCCATAAGTACCTCAAGCTAGAACAATAAACTGAGAAAGAAGTAGAGAAAATATTGTGTGTGGTTCTAGTGATAGCAAAGAAGACAGATTAAATGCTTCTTGTGTGCTTACAATTTGAGAGAGAGGACAAAGGAGTTGGTGTGAAACCCAGTCATAAACATCGAGATGTATCTTGGTGTAAAGGTTGAGATTTTATCAGAAACCTCAAAGTTAAGCATGCTTGAAAACATTCTCTGGATGAGTGACCTCCTAGGAAGTTACACTAATGAGACAAACAAACTATTAAGCCAAAGCAGACAATATATCCATGGTTGAGAGTTTGGTCTATTACAAATGATCTCATAGCACTACACAAGTATGAGAATGTGAAAAAAGTGCTATACAAAATAAAGTGCTATGTCATAGGAGTCGCATCTTGAATCTGTAGGGCTCACATCTAAAATCCTATCTATTTTGTGAACAATTCTTGGTTAAAAGCAATGATGAGGATGTCATTTGTTTATGTGGAGTAGATTGTGAGACCCATCAAGTAAAATGAAGTTGAACTCTTAACCATTAAGATGTGTAGGGCTCACATCTAAAATCCTATCTGTTTTGTGAACAATTCTTGGTTAAAAGCAATGATGAGGATGTCATTTGTTTATGTGGAGTAGATTGTGAGACCGCTCAAGTAAAATGAAGTTGAACTCTTAATCATTAAGATGTTTTTATGGTTAGAGTTTCAACAATAGCTATAAAGTTACGTTTGCTCGTATGAGAGCACTCTTAAGATAGGTGGCCTCCCCGGAGGTTACACCAATTGGGCAGAGCAACGAGGTCATTAAGCCAAAACAGACAATGTCTCGATCGATGAGAGCTCGGAATGTTACAATCGGCATTTTCCATGACAATGCAAGAGAGGAGACAACCGTCTGCATTCTACCAGCATTCTTCAACTTTGATACTCACGATAGCATTTTAACCTCCATCTAAGTTCTTGCAAGAACATATCAATTATTTGCATTCATCTCTATAGATTTCTCCTTCATCATTTGATTTTTCAATAACATCAATGGTTTCATGTCCTTCATAGTAGTAAGCGATATTTCTCAATACACCATTTTTTAATGATAAAAGAATTAATTGAATTTTGGGTAGCCACGCACAGGGGGGAGCTTACAGCCAAATAAATCTTGGGTCTCTATGTTTCTATATTTTTTTGTGATTAATTCCTCATCTTCATGTTTTTACTCATTATTATTGTCCTAACAAATCATATCGAAGCTTTTGGTAAAACAATTTCTCATATCTTAATAATAGGAGACGACAAGGTTACAATCAACCTTTTTTATGGCTGAAATTTTGGCTATCGGAATATGAAAATGATTTTTAAAAAAGAAGAGAGGGTTATGATCAAGATCTTTGATGGCTGTGATTTTGACTATTGGAATAAGAAGATGAATCATACCTATACGAAAACAAAGCTTCATCCCCCTCTACGAACGATAAAGCGTTACCTCTGAGATCAAAATGAAACTCTACACTAACAAACAAGATAGCATTCTTATCATTTAATATTTTAATATCCCAAAAATTTAGGATATGTTTGGGGCAGCTGCAGTTTATTTATAATCTGTTTATTTGCAAATTACTTTGACAATCTGATAATCTGCATATTATCCTGATAAGTTGATTGGTTGTTTGGGGAAGCTTATTTCTAAATAAATGATCATTCTGCCCATGTTAAGTAATGTTGTTCGAAAAATGACTGTCTGAGTAATATAATTGATACAACATAAGCAGAAAGTCAAAACATAAGAGTTTTCAAAAAAAAGATACAGTCCTCACTTACGCGTGAGTATCAAAATTGATAAAAAAAAGAGAAAAATAATTACAAATACAATTAAAATTATTAAAATGTTGATTTTAAAACCCAATACCTATAGGCAATTCCATAATATGCATAAATTTATTGGTATCGAGCAAGCATAAACTTCTCCAATACATAATTCTTCCCTAACTACCTCATTGATGCGTATAGGCAATATCAAAAACATTCTTTTGACAAAGCAGCTAACAGGAATTAATCCAAGATATGCGTATTCAAGTACTCCAACGCAGCTAAATGATTCTACCTCAAAACAATTCCTTTAAAACACATTCAAATAGCCAGATGACCTCAAAAAAATTCCTTTAAAACACATTCAAATAGCCAATACATCTGGCTTTAAACAGGTAATCAAGTATTCCCATGTTAGCTAACAAGAGCTCATCAAAACAAGCACTCGAGTAAACTAGAGAAATTAAGAAGAAGCACCTAAAACTCTTATGCATTTACACCTAAAACTCAAATTTGCATATCTAACACCTACAATCATATGCAAAAGCTTTACATACAAATCAACCGATTTTTATGCATTTACACATGAAACACCTAAAACTCTGCCTCCAATTCATGCTTCGACATATAGAAATTATTTAAATAGATAGATTGAAATAGATATGGGACAGCAAGTGAGCCATAAAATTCCAGAAACAAAAGTTGATGACATAAAAAGAAGCTCTAAACATCAACTTAAGAACAAGCACAACTCCAAACTGCACTGCAATCATCCAACAAGAACAGCTCATTCCAACATGTTTCAGCCAAGCCCAATTGCACTGCAAGCATAGCTTCCTCTCTTGGCAATTCCAACCAAAGAAACATAATAAAATGCCAAGACAGAAACCCCAAGCCATAAAAATGCAAATCCTAAAGAATTGTGGAGAAAAATCTAAGAAGAGGAGAAGGAACATATTAAATGCCAAACGCATTCTCAAAAAATGAGAAAATTTCATACAGCTAATCAATCGAAAGCCCAGCATCACCCAACGAAATCCAACTGAAGGAGCACGAAATAACGAAAATCATTCCATTCAATACTAACAGATTGACCGTTAGGAGGGGGCTTAGAGAGGATTTAAGGCACATGAGAGGCGAAGGAGCAGTGAGGAGTCAAATCGAGCACGAGAGCTCGAGAGGCGAAGGATGCAAAATCGCATTAGAGCAGACGAGAGAAAGGGAGGCCAGCTAAAACGGAGCTACCGAACGTGGGTCGCGGCTTCAATCCCGCGGTCGCATATATTAAAGAAATAACAGCAACGTTACGAAAACACCACCCAAACACTTTAAATAACGCGTAGGCGGCATTTCGAAAATAACGCCGCACCAAATAAGCGCCCCCAAACGGGCCCTTAATGGCTTGAACTAGATTCTTATCAATGTCTCATAATTATGTGTTTTGAATATGTAATAATCCTTAATTAACATGTAAGAAGAAAAATAATATTTGAGTTTATTGCAGGAATCAATAATAACTTTGATCAATTTCAAGTCCAAATCTTATGTGGAGAAAATTTAAATTATCTAAATGAGTTTTTCTCTCTTCAACAAGCT